GTGTAATTTTCATCTGTCTACTTTTTTCATCTGCCTATTGTTGATGGAATTTTATTTGGCTGAACAAATCTTTGTGTCTAATTTAGCCCTTAAATGCTGATAAATGATGACAAATAATTTCCTTTCACTTTATCATTTTTAGATAAATCATAGAATCTGGGGCTGGGGATTTAGCTCAGCGGCATAAGCACCTGCCTTGCAAGCAGGCGGTTGTGAGTTCCATCCTTGGTACCGATAAAAATGAAAAAGACAAAAAAAAAAAAATCATAGAATCTTAGAAAACTACTGGGCATTTACAGTACTTACTACTTTTTTGCTTTATTTTACAACTCTCCCTTTATTAATAATATGTGCTTTCCAGGGATGTAGCTCAGCAGCACAGCAACTGACAACTGAGAAGTCATGAGTTTGATTCCCAGTACCAAAAAAAAAAAAAAAAAAAAAGTGTAGCTTGATACATAAAAAATAGATTCATTGTAGGGAATTAGTACATATACACATCACATCTTTTATTGCTTTAGTGTCTTGGTCAAAAGTCATTTTATGGCTATATTGATACTGTTCATGATATAAATAAGATCTGTGTATAGCTTGAACACGAGTAATAGTGCTTGTGGTTAAATGGTAGATAGCTGCCAGAGGATCACTTGCGTGTATTTTGAAATGATTTCAAAATAAGACATTTTCCCTTTGAAATGATCAAATGTCTTATTTTGTACATGGAGTGAAAGTGTTAAATTAGAAAAAATTAGTAACTGCTGGTGTACCTGCCATGAGTTGAGCCTGAAGTTTTGGGGAGGATGATTTGCACATGTGCTATTGGGCCTTTCTTAATAAAAGACATATTTTTTTTTAACATCATTTTTCTTGTTATACTAAAAATATGTCCATGATGTTAAAACAGTCCTAAATTGATCATCTGAGGTAAGTAGTTTCTGTGAATTCTAATTAATTTTGAACTTCTTAATTGACTAGCCAGTGGGAATTCTCTGAAACATTCCCCATGACCTGAAACATCTTTCTTTTTGATATTGTTGCCTTTTTCCTTTGCAGGACTTGGTTTAGGACTTTCGTTTGTTGAGACAGGTTTCATTATGTAGCCTTGGCTGGCCTTAAACTAAGAATCCTTGGGGCTGGGGATTTAGCTCAGCAGCATAAGTGCCTGCCTTGCAATCAGGCAGTCGTGAGTTCGATCCCTGGTACCGATAAAAAGGAAAAAGACAAAAAAAAAAAAAAAAGAATCCTGTGTCAACCTTCTAAATATTGGAATTCAGACTTGTACCATCACACTGTGCTTGGTTCAGGTTTATTAGGGTAGTTATCCAAGTGCCAGCTGTTTATCAGCACTCTTGTCCTGGAGCTGGGGGTGCTGAACAAGAAACAGTTTTTGACCTCATTCAGTTTGTAGCCTATATTGGAAAAAGGAATAAGAATTGGAAAATTATTCATGTATAAATTGCTTTTTTACGTCAAGTGAATAGATTTTCTGAATGGTTGGTTGTCTTCCTTTTTTTTGGTACTGGGAATTGAACTCATGACCTCAAGCTTGCCAGGCAGGCAATTAATACCACTAAGCTAAATCCTCAGCCCTTCTGCTTTCTTTTAACATGGAGATTTTACCAAGATCTTAGTTCACTCTTAAATGGAATATATTGTGTTAGATGTTAAGGGAATTTTAGTTGAAAAAGAAAAGCTGTGGATCTTAAAAGACAGAGGTTCTAAGTATTTGCCTTTAAGAATACAAAAAAAAAAAAGATTGTATGGTTAGTTGAACTGTTTTGTTTTGTTTATAAGGGATATTTTAGTATTAAGGTAAAAATGTATTCAGTGTTTTTGAGACAAATGTCATATGACTACATGGTTTTGCTAGTAATTAATGGGTCATTAAGTTACTTTTTTTTTTTTTTTGTAGACAGGTTCTCACTACGCTGTTCGGATTATCCTTGAACTTCCTGTGTAGCTCAGGCTGGTTTACAGCAATATTCTTGACTTAGTCTCTTGAGTGCTGGAATAGAGGCGTGTGCCACTCACTACCCCTGGCTAACTTACCTCTTTTTAAGCTTCTTGTTCTTTAAAATTTTCTTTTTTTTTTTTTAAAGTCAGATTTTATTGGTTCTTTTTTTAAAGTAAAAAAAAAAAATTTTTTTTTTTTTTTTTTGTATTGGGATCGAACTCTTGACCTTGGGCTTGCCAGGCAGGCACTGTATTGGTATATTTTAGATATAAATAATGATCTCGTTCATTGTAGAGAATTTGTATCTGTGTATGGTATAACTTGATTCTTTTCCCCATTTCCCTACTTTCCTTTGAACTCCTCCTCCCCTTGCCATTTATAAAAGTTTTGTTTCCATTTTTTCTTCCTTTTCTTATTCTTTTTAACTTTTCTCTTCCTTCCTCTCTTCCTCACCCTCCCTTAGTCTCCTTCCTATTTAAGCATTTTTTTTTTCCTATTTCACAATATCTATTACACATTTTGGACCTTATTTATATTTTCAATTTCTCATACCAGTGAAACAATGCAATAGTGTGATAATATGGTTTCAGAATGCATCTTTTTAAGCTTCCTATTCTTTAAAAATTTTTTTTTCTGGAGAAAAAAAATAAAAAGATTTCACCATATTTTGAGTCAGGTGTGGTGCATGCTTGTAATCCCAGCACTCAGGAGACGGAGGCAAGAGGATTGGTGTGAATTTGAGGCTGGCCTGGGGAGCCTGAACTATATAGTGAAACCCTGTCTTAAAACAAAACATAAACACCTCATTTTTTTCACCATGGCACATTATTCTTTGTTTCCTTTTTTTTATTCTTAATATTATAACTATACATATTTAGAAGTAAATGACATAATTATTCCTTGCCATGTATTTTTCACTAATGTATATGGTGAAGTGGTATAAGCTGACCATTTTTATATAAATTGAAAGCAAAGGCTAACCAAGAAACTCAAGCGGTTAATAAAATTATGCTGTTTCAGTAGTAGTATATGCTCAATAAGACATTTGGCCCATAGAGTTTAATGAATATTTCTGGACTGTTTATTTTTTACTTTTGGCATATTTCCAGCACTAGTTTTTTTTTTTTATTTTAAAGAGGATAAAACAGAATAAAACCAATCAAAACCAGTGTAAAAGGTACAGGACTTCAAAATATTACAAAATCAATAATAGTTATCATAATGCCTCTTGATGTTTTCAAAATGGCTGCAGATAACTTTGGACATAGTAAAAGTCAAACAGAACTGAATAGAATAGAAATAATAAAACAATGAATGCAGTAAAGGACTTCAAATCAAGCCAATAGTAAATCCAAAATTGCTACTGTAATATTTCTTGCTATCTTTGAGATAGCTGCTCCTATCATTGGATTTGACATAATCAGACTAAAGAAAAGAAAACCCAACCCAACAAAACAATGGAAATAATATAGAACTAAAACAAGACCATAGAGAATCAATGATGGTTGTGACCCTCTCAGAAGGAGAGCCCTCTAAATGCCACACTGCATACCACTATCCTCTGAACAGGTGTGATCAGACCACTGGCCCTAGACCGGCAATGTTAGTGAAACACCAAAGCACCACAGGCATCCAATTGCATTTCACCTCCATAGCTATCTTCACAGCCTGTGTTTCTCCCCTTTGTCGATCGCTTATGGCAGGGGGTGGGGAGTAAGTGGTAGTTGATACTTCTTGTTTGCCAGTCTGCACGCCAGAAGGGGCTGGGGTCTGGCTGTACTAGTCTGGTGGTGGCCCACGCATGGCACTGGTTCCCAGACTGGGCTTGCTTCCTGGTGTGGCCTTTTTCTCTCACCCCCAATCAGCCAATGGTGCTGACTCACAATGAGAGGCTGGGGTCTGGCTGTCCTCATTGAGGAGCAGCCTGCGCATGGTACTGGTTCCCAGACTGGGCTTGCTTCTTGGCAAGCCCCCCTTCTCTCTACCCCCAGGCTGTAGATGGCCACTAGTTTCAATTTTTAGGAAACTTTTTTTAAATTGCACTCAATCCATTAGAAATACATTTACAGTGTATTTCAGAGCCTCAAATTTATCATGGTAAACTAATGTAGACATTTTATTTTAAGTCAGCCTTATATTATTGAATTAGGCAGTTTGCTTTAAAAGTTTCTTTTCTGTCAGAAAAGATTAAAATCGTTGTATATTGTGCTAAAGTGACTCAGTTTTGCTAATTAAACCATCTTCCTTCCTTGGTTTCCTGAGTGCTGGAATTATTTGTGAACTGCCAAGCATGGCTTAAATATTTTTTTTAAAAAGTATTTAGGATATAGAGAAATTAGAACTCTTGTGAATTACTTCTGAGAATGGAAATATAGCCATTATGGAAAATGGCATGGAGATTGTCAAATTAAATATATTGAATAACCATATGATCCAGCAGTTCCACTTGTGGGTAGACACGTGTTAGAAAAAAAGCTAGGTCTTGAACAGATACTGGTATGTTAATGGTCCTTGGAAATATAGTGAGACCTTGTCTCAAAATATTTTTTATTATTTTGAAGGGCTGGGAATATAGTTTAGTGTGAAGGTTTGTGTTCAGTTCTTAGCCTCTCCAATTCTAATGGGTGCAAAGTAGTGCTGGTGCCTCATTTGTAGTTTGGATTTTCATGTCCCTAATGGCTAGTGATTTGAGCATCTTTTCTTGTACTTACTGTCTTTTGTATATGCTGTTTGGAATAATGCCTATGCAGGACTATTAATCTTCTTAGATTACTGTAACAGAACAAAATAGGACAGGCTCAAACAACAGGTTACTTTCTCACAGTCCTGGAGGCTGAAAGTTTAAGATCACAGTTTCTGGCAGGGATATCTCTTCTACGTATTGATTTAATTTTAATTTGGATGTATATCTAAGTAGTAGCATTGCTGAATCATGTGTAGTTATAGTTTTAAATTTTATAGAATCTCCATACTTTTTTTTTTTAAAAAAAGATATACCATTATTCATTCTTTCTTTTTTTTTTTTTTTTTTTGGTTCCTGGGATAGAACTCATGACCTCATGCTTGCCACAGGTGCTTATGCAGGTGAGCTAAATCCCTGGCGCCTATACCAGTATTCTTTTCCAAGATAGTTTTTAGTTATTCTGGGACCCTTGTATTCCCATGTAAATTTTAGGATCGGTATGTTGATCAATGTAAAAAATCCCCAGTGGATCATTTTTGTAGGGATTGTATTGAATGTGTACATTTGTGAGTAATGCTGCCATTTTAATATTAAATCTTTTTGATACATGAGTATGTATTCCTACTTAATTTTTAATTTCTTTCAATATGTTTTATAGTTTTACATTTTCTTTTTTCATTTTCTCTAGGGTTTTTGTTTTGTTTTGTTTTTTGCATTCTAGGCAGGTGCTCTGTGACTGAGCCACATTGCCAACCTTCTTTCTGTAGAATTGGAGGTGTACTAGAGGGTATTTTTATTCTTGCTTATTGGTGGTAGTTTATTAGAAGAAAAAAAATTGAATATCAGTGGGCTTTTCCAAGCAATGTACAACATGGTACACCACAATACTTTTAAAAGTGATAGTAATTCTTGGATGATAATCTTTTAAGGGAAGGAAATATATTCCATCATGTTTCTTGTTTGCATCAGTACTTTCCAAAACTGACTTTGCTATGCAAGAAGGTGAGCACATAAATGCTCCTTGTAAAGTATCAAAACAGGACTGAAAATCTCCTTTTCCTATACCTATTGGCACACACTATTGAGTTTGTGTTCTTTCTGACAGACTTTTCTCCCTACACTTTTATGAATGTGTGTATTCCTAAATAATGAGTAGATGTTGTTTTTTTCATGTCGTCCATATATTTTTTCTATCGATAAACAGTCTATTTCAGTTTTTTTCCTAACCTGTTGCAGTACTTTTTTTTTTCTTTTCCTTTTTGGACATGCCTTCAGTGAACATGTTGAGTTGCTTTGCTGAGGTATATAAGGAGACCTAGAGTTGTTAGGTCATGTTGCATAGCTGTTATCATGATGTACTGCTAGAATACTCTTAAAAGTAGCTTTAACAGTTTTACTATTATTACTATTAAAAGTATATATGCAAGTATTTATTTTTTCATGTCAGTATCAGTACTTGAAATTAGTCTTTTTGCCAGTCTTTTGTATGAAAAATAATTACCTTTATTATTTTAATTTGCATTTTTCTGATTATGAGGTTGAGAAAATTTCTTATATATTGAACTTTGCATTTCTTCTGTAATTTCCTGTTACTTTTTGTTTTTTACTTTCCCTCCTCATCACAGAATATAGGCAGCTTTTGAATGGATATACTTTTGTACTCAGCTCTTTTTGTTGTAAAACAGCTTTAGAAAAATGGATTTGTTGTCATCTGTTTACTCAGACTTGTTATTTTAAAAGAGAAAGTCCACATTTTTTACTGAAATGCTTTGATTACATCATTGGGCAAACAGTAGAGTGGTGGGAGGAGTATGTGTGGAATATAGCAAATGAGGTCCCCGTGACTCTGGAATACATTGAGTTCTACATACAGCCTTTCAATGTCTTAAAGTTAATTTAGCTTCAGTGAATTTGTTTCTTAGTATTTAATATCTCAGTAATTTTTCAAAGCCTGAACTATGGGTGTCTTTACTTTTTTTTTTTTGTTTTTTTCCCTTTTATCGGTACCGGGGATCGAACTCACGACTGCCTGCTTGCAAGGTAGGTGCTTATGCCGCTGAGCTAAATCCCCAGCCCCGTGTCTTAACTTTTAAAGTTCAACTTTGTTAAGGTAAATTTGTGTACAACAAATTTTATTTTGGCATGTATGTATGTATAAAATCTCCCAATCAAGATATAGAATATTTTCATCAGTGTAATAACCAAGTTCCAGATTACTTGAAGCCATCATTTTTTTTCCTGTCATAGTGAGTCACTGATCTAATCTGCCATATTAGGTTAGTTTTGCTGCTTGTAAAATTTAATATAAATGCTTATTCCTTAATCTCTTATGAGGACTTCTGAATTTATGACTATGTTTAGTTATTAGCCACAAGCTTAAAAAGTAATTAACTTTAAAAGTTATTGGTTTAAAATCTCGAATTTTCATAGAGTTGAAGGTTGTTTCTGAATCGTGATTTGGCAACCTTACTTCAGTAGGTAAAAAATTTTTTGTGTTAAAATTCTGCTGTGGAAATATTGACACAGCAAAGTTAACAGAACTTCAGTCTCTGAAATTAGATACAGCCTAGTGGTAGGAAGATAGTGGTAGCTGATCTACCCCTATCTATTTTCATACTTGCTTTTTAAACATTAGTTTCATGGTCTTTTTAGCTATTACCTACAAGAATTTTGACTGATGTTAACCTGTGCATACAGACATTGCTTTGAAAACAGGACAAGATCCAAATTGATAACAGTATTCAGATTTTTTTTTGTTTTTTGAGACAGGGTCTCACATTCACTAGATAACTGAGGCTGACCTTGAACTTCTGCTTCAGCTGCCAATTGCTAGGATTATAGGGATGCACCATCATGCTGGCCTCAATTTAGTTTTTGCCATTAAAAAAGAATTCTGGGGGCTGGGGATTTAGCTCAGCGGCATAAGCCACCTGCCTTGCAAGCAGGTGGTAGTGAGTTCGATCCCTGGTACCGATAAAAAAAAAAAAGAATTCTGTAGTCCTCTCAAATGGGGAACAACTCTCCCCTACCTCTTGTTTTGAAGCTAAGACAGTGGAGGGGGTATTATATGTAACCTGATTTCTAGACTCTACCTTTAAAAATAGCTTTACTGACATAATTCACAAATTGTATATCACCCATTCAGAGTATAAAATCCAGTGATTTTTAGTTTTTCACAGAAATGTGCAGCCACCACCCCAGTTTGATCCGTTGGAGAGGGAATAGTACTGGGGATTGAACCCAGGATGCCAGCTTACAAAGCAAGTGCTTTATTAAGCTATACCCCAGCCCCCAAGAACTACAATTATAGGATGTTTTCATTACCCGAAAAAGAAACTATAACCTTTAGTAGTCATTCCTTATTCTCTCATTTCCTCGCTTTCCTAGCCCCAGGCAACCACTTACTTTCTATGTATTTTTCCGTTTAAGACATTAAAAAAAATTCCTTCTGTCTAACTTGATAGCCTTTAACCAACATCTCCCATTTTCTCCTTCCAATCTATTCAAGCTTGTGGTATATACCATTCTACTTGATGCTTTTGTGAGATTAACTTGTTAAGATCTCACTTGTGAAATCAGGTTCTTTATTTTACTGAACAGAATGTCCTCCAGGTTTATCCATGTTGTCAAAATGAAAAGAATAAATTACTTTATGGCCAGATAGTATTTATTTTGCACATATGTATCACAACTTTTTTCTCTCTCTTTTTTTTTTTCCTTTCCCTTCCTCCCCCTCACCATTTTTCTTTTGCAGTACTGGTAATTGAACCTAGCACCTTCCCCCTGAGTTATATCCCCAGGCATGCATGCATGCATGTATATGTATAACATTACCATTATTATTATTTTTTTAAATTTTGAGACAGGGTCTCCCTAAGTTGCTAAATTGCCTTGGCTGGGCTAGAGCAATCCTCCTGTGTTAGCCTCTGAGTGCTGGGATTACAGGCATATTGGTTGTATCATATTTTGCTTATCTATTGAAATATTGATGGATGCATCTATCCGTTTTTTGTAAGACAGTGTTAGATTGTGGGCTATTTATTTATTTGTTTTTGGTGCCAGGGACCGAACTCACAACCTCATGCCTATCAGGCAGATGCTTAAGCCATTTGAGCTAAATCCTCAGCCCTAAGATAGTGTTAGAGGTCATCAAGAATTCATTATATTTGGTAGAGTCTCTTGATGAGCAGCTCTTCATTCTTATTTGCATATAACTTGATTACTTGATTTTTTTTTTTGGTACCAGGAATTGAACTCAAATCTTGCATTTAGCAAACAGGTACTTCTGCTACTGAGCTATAGCCCTGGCCCTGTAACTTGATCTTATGATGTATTTTATACTCAAAAGACTGTAATGATTATTAAAAACAACAGAAATAAACATCTCCATGGTAGAGTCAGGTTTATCAAGATTACAAGGGCTAGTTGTAAATTTGGGTGCAGGTGTGTTGTTTTAGTCTATTAGTTTGTAGGTTTTGGATTTGAACCAAGAAATTCTGTTTTCCAAGTACTTCTTCTTCTCTTAATTAGAAAAAAATAATACATAATATACATAAAATATAATATCCTTAAATTAAAGCTGGATAATTTTTACATATATATGTAAACTGTTCATATCTATATCTATATCTATATCTATGTATATCCACATAATTTTACCCATATTAAGATAAAGAGCATTTACAGCTTTCTTTCCCTGGATTTCCTCCCCTCTGTTAGTACATACTCTTAAGAGATAATCACTATTTTGGCTTTTTATCACCACAGTCCCTTTGTTTTTGCTTTTGTTTTTTGTTTAGATTTCTTTTAGAATGTTGTTTTTTTTTTTTTTTTGGTTGTGAATTTAACTGAGTACCGAATTGGCATACCTAAGCTATTAGTGAAGTTCTTTCTAAAGGAAGGCATGGAAGTGAGCAAGGCAAATTATATGCTTCAGATGAGTAATAGCATCATTCTTAAGGCAGTTTTATGTGGCATTCCTCATGGACAGAGTATACTTTACTACAACTAAATATAAAATTCTTTTTTATTTGTATTTTTTATGGTAAGGAAAATATGAAATAAAGAATACCTAGACTGGTTTCATATCTTGGCTATTATGAATTATGCCCTAATAAACATGAGTATAAAGGTGTCCCTATAGTATGCTGACTCATTATTTCTAGTATATATCAAGGAATGGTATGCTTCAGATTTAAAAAAAATAAACTTTTTACTAAGATGCAATTTAAAATGTACTAGAATGCAACTTGAAATTTAATGAAAGTTCTAAAAGAAATTCAAGAACTACTAGTTGTCTTTACCTGTTGTTTATATTTTACTTCATCTGCATTTCTCCATTTTCTTCCCCCTGAATCATTTGAGGGTAAGTTGGAATCTCTGTGTCACTTTCCTTTAAATA